CCCAGTTATTCATTAGACCAATTCCTGCAAAACAAAAGCACTTTGTAGCAGGAGTTGGACTAGAACTTTGTATTGTAGACAGATAAGCATGGTATCTCTCCAAAGTGTCTCCTATTCCTTATACAATGAATAGAATTAAATTAACCAAGTATTCAGAGAAAACTCCCCAGCACACGGGCCTAGCTGAACCACTCTGCCACTACATAGGCAGAAAACAGTGGTGAACTTGAGGCCAACAGTAACGGAAAAAAAAAAAAAACAACCAAAAAAACCCCGAAAAACAGACTTAACTTTGTACCAAATAGAAAAGATAAGCAAAACATCAATTCTGACACTTCACACTTCCTGTCTAGTCCTATGTAGTCCTGCATGTTTATTAAAACTAACCTCTGTGGGACCTAAGCACTTTACAGAATTTGAAGTCAGTGCTGAGCATCTACTTTTCTACTTTACCAAATCTCAGTCTCCCAAATGTATGCATTTTTTATATATTACCAAGCAGTGTTGAGGAGTTGGGAGAATGCAGGGTACCAGTCATAATATATAGTTTCTCAATTACACAGCAAAGACTAAAGAAAAAGATATCATAGTATTTTGAAAGAATAAATCCCTATTATTAATTACAAGTATAGAGCCAGATTTCCAGACATGCACATCCCAGTGGGTATTAACTGTCATTACTATGTATGATGACTATACACAAACTGTCCCTTGCATATGTAACTTCCTGAGTCCCAAAGAGCTATCACAGAGCACAGACTTTCACAAGCAGTGCAGATATAATTTTTCTATACACACCTACAGTAATTCCTTTTCTAAATGAGGAAACTGCTGCAAGTACCTTTCAAAATGCTGTCACGGAAGAACTGAATAAACATCCTGGATTGAGCACTGATGCCACCTCTGTAAGGGGCAGGATCTCAGCAGCTGAGGCCCTTCAGCTGCTTTTTTAATGCACCAAATGTGTAACTATGGCTCTCCAGTGAACAATAGTTTGTTGGATAAAGAAAAGCCAAAACCTACATCAGTTAGAAACCAAAGGTCAACCACAGCATTCGAGACTGGTCCCAGTGGCAGCCCTGTCCTCATTACCAAGGTTGCTCTGATTTCAGAATAATGTAAGCAATAACAGCACAGCTGGAAAATACCTCACACCTCTACAAGAATCACCATTTGTGAATCTTTCAGGAGCTGCCAGAGCAACTGGGGGGAAATTGTGGTGGTTAAATATCACAGGAGGACAAAAGCATACCAAAGCCAGATTTCTAAAGCTCAGTTACACAGCAGTCTTCTCATCATATTTTAACTGATATTTAAGTAACTATATCAAACAATATTAAATGATGAAAATTATGGCATCATAATAGTTTTTATAACATGTCCACATCTCTGAGTCTTCAGCTTTAACAAAGATGCTGTAAGGATTTCTAATGACTGAATTGAGCTCTTGGCTCATGACACACTTAAATGTCAAAAACTTACATGTGTAGACTAAGATCAGAACTTAGAGAGCAATGACTGATCCAGAAAAGGGGGGGAAAAAAGGCAAATCTTTTCTAAGCTTGGTAAAATTAATTGCTCTCTGGGAGATACTTATCTCCCTCCCTTGACTAGAGGAGGAGTGTGGATTACCAAATTGCATTAGCAACAAACAATTTAGAAAGCTTAACTTAACTGAGATGAAGTTACTCAAAGTTATTTCACATTAATATGAAAAACAATGTTTTCATGGATAATAAAAAGCTGAAGCAATCTATCCATAACACTATGTCATATAGTAAGAGAGATAATCAAATGTACTCTATAGCCCAATTTGAACATAAATAGTACAGACTCTATCTCCAGGATTCAGCTGGTTTCTAGACAGCACCCATTTTTTTACTAGACAGGGCATAACACACCATCACTTGCAAGGTATCTAGGAAATGTGATGTTGATAGCATCATATATTTTTTCTTCTAAGTATTGTTCAAAAACTCAAGATGCAAAATAAATAAAATTCTGAAATCTACCCATTACATAATTATTTAATTCTTAGTAAAATATTTAATGTTTTTTGAAAAAGTATGTCTGTGAAATTGTGTTTTTAATTTGGTGAAATGAATAATACAGAAGAGTAAGTTGGAATCAAATCAATCTTCATAGATTTCATTTTTTCAAGAGTAATTACTACATCCAAAGAGTAATTACTACAGCCATTTCTTTTATACTTCATCAGTTTGATAACACATAGAGAATGTGACTTGCAAGAAAGTACAAATACCATATTAAACAGCATAATGGACTGCACAAATCAAAATATTGTTCCACTTAAAAAAAAAAAAAAGAGCAAAACACCAGCATAAAACACTTTCATAAAGGAGGATAAAAAAGTAGTGATACGTGAAAGTCAGGAAGTTACACTTAGATTCTGGGACTCGCACTCTTGATTCACAAGTGCACATTCTACAAATAAATGTAGACAAATAAGTAATATTATCCTCCAAAATGAGGAGGGAGCTCTGTTTCATTAAAAATTAAAACCAAATGTAAACTGAAGTGAGAACAAAATCAATAGCTCACATCATCAGATGCCTACCAGAAGCTATGGAATGCATAATACAGGGATAGAGTAAAAAAATTCAACTGTTCTGCAAAAGTTTTATTCACACACTCAATGACACCTGCAGCAAATAACCCATATATGTTCCATGTACTTAATTTACTCATTATTTTTATATTAAAGCAAACACATTGCATTGATATCTATACGGAATACAATAAAGAGCCATTAACTAGCCCTATAAAATGGATCATGTCTCAGCCTCTTCTACCACTGTAGGCAGCTGATAAATGCCTTCCAAAAATAGATACAGGCAATATCCACAGGTTATTCTCACCAGGATCATGCACGAGTCCATCTCCCAGACTGCTCCATTTCCCATTTTTTAGCTCCCAGGACAAGTTACTGTACTTTTTGTCCCAAACATGAGCTGTATGTTTGTATTTAAAGCCTATGCATAAAATATGGATGTGAAAATCAGGGAAGGGGAAAAACTACTTGTGGTAAAAACAGCAGTGGCAACAAACAAGATAAGAAACAGACTATGGATTCATTAAATTCCCTTAGATTTATAGCCTTCACAATCCTATAGGGAGGCTTTTCCATAAGTGCACAACTCAAATGGTTGGAACCATTCTACAGACTGAAAGTTGACACCCATCTTGTCTTATCTTAAACAGTTTTCCTCCAAACTGTATTCTTATCATATATTTATAAACAACAATCTTTTCTGCTCTCAGCCACTCTCTTGAGATATTAAATATACCACATCCTTTTATTATCTCCAAAAGTCTCCTCAGGCTTCAGTCAGCCTTAATACCACTTGCCATGCAGAGTCTTCTTTGAGTTTGTCTTCCTGAAATGTGTGTTGCCAAAATACTACAAAAATATCCAGGGCTTCGAGAATGACACCAATGCTTCTTCCTTCTTTTCATTAGGACCGTATAAGCCATTTCTACATCCACACGTCACTCCTGACTCACACACAAACCACTGTCATTTCCTTCAATTTGAAGGAGAAAATTCCTATCATTTCCTAAGTGTAGAACTTGCACCTTGTTCCGTTAAACATTATCTCATGACAACTGTCATTCCCAATGATCTCATTCCCCCTGAATGACAGTCCAGCCTCTTCCCCACCTGTTATTGGCAAAGTTTTGTGGTGTTCTTTTGTTACTCCTCACTTCTACTTTTGAATTTGGGTAACTGGGAATGATTTTTGTATTTTGACACTCACACTGCATACTAGCAGGCTCTGGTGCTTCAGAAGTAAACCTTTTTTAGCACCATTGCACTAAGACTGCCTTCTATCCCACGAAACCAAGCACAAAGAGCTGGGACATTTTCACTGCACTGTTGTCTATCAAAACACAGTTTATCCATAACATGATGCAGAAGTATTCCATATCCTTTTATTGCCAGGATTCATTTAATGTAGTTATTCAATTAATCTAAATGAGAGATCTATATCCCCCAGGATTTTCCTCCCACTCAGCAAGACTGCTCATGCTAGACTGTGGGTAGGGTATTTCTCCATGTGAAACAGGCAAATACTGATGCAGTTATTCTGATCAAACCATTAATGTAGTCTCAAAGACAGGAAACTTTTAAAAACTCTGATGGGAAATGCTTAGGAAGAGGCAGGAAGGGGGCGGGGGGGGCAACTTGTCGGAAGAAGATATCCAGCAAAAATCCACACAACTCAGCTATCACGGCCCCAACCTGTGTGTATTAATCTGCCACAATCCATCTCCCAAGAGGCTGTTCCTCGACACTCTGCTTCCGTGGTGTGAACTTCCTGTGTTTCCAAATTGCTTTTCAGCTTGTGGCAACTCTCCCTTTCGCAGTTGCCTGAGCATCACCACTTGACTACCCCAATCTTTCAGAGCTCCAACTACCTTGGCTTCTCCACTCCCTGATTTTCAATTCAGACTCATTGTGGAGGCAGTGTATTTTCCAAAGCATCAACTCTAGACCTTTTTAGGAACCTCAAGTGTTACTTGTGGGGAAATGTTTTGGTTTTTGGGGGGAGGGGGTTGGTCGGTTTTTGTTTGTTTGAGGGTTGTTTTTAGTTATGTTTAATTCCAGCGACGCATTTTATTAGTCCTATGTAGACATTATCTATGAAAAATATGTAAACACTCAGAGGTAATAACGCTGGGGTCTGTGTTCAACTCACTTTTGTAACACCAAAATGCACCAACCCTTGTAATTCATTTAGCAATATATTTGCTATTCATAATATAAAATAGTATTAGGCACATATTTTAAAATTTATCATTTTAGCTACTATGCTTTGCCCCACAAACCAAAAACTTTAGACAATTATGGAACAAAAGCCTGTATAATTTATAAGTAACTTGAAGGTGTTTGAAATCAAAAATGCATATTATCTGGACTTGAAAGAAACGTTGTGGTATTTAGAACTCAAATGAGAAGAACACAATACAATACATACCTATATCATACGCAAGAAAGTCAGCAGAAAAACACTTTGCACCATTGCTCAGTGAAGTATCATTATGAGTGTTTCCACCAAAAATGAGCATAGCTCCATTGATTAAGACAGCTGAATGAAGGTATCTTGCAAAACCACTCTCTTTCAAAATAGTCCTACAAAATATAATAACAAATTAATACATATTAACATGTGAAAAATTGTACATGAACATCAAGAAAATTTATAGATAAAAAAATACAAAACACAAGGAAAATACTGAACTAAAGCTATTGTTCAGTAAACATGATGAAATTTATTCATACTCTTTCTAGGATTGTGAATTTTCTCATGGTACAACAAATATATTTACCATTCATTTAAAATGTCCTGCTTTTTTAATTAAAAAACAGGTTTTTGAATAACGTGTCTGAAATAAATTTTATCATGTTTACATTCTTCAGACGTGATTAATGATATGGTAAACTTTAGTAAAAAGTGAATGAAAACTCATTCATATTATTAATTCCTACTCATATATACCCTTAGTCATGTTGTTCTTTTGCCCAAGACCTGCAATAAAGAATTCTTTAAAAGGCTAAAGGAATCTTTAGACTATCTTAAGCATAGTAAAAGGATAAACTTTTTTTTAATTATTTGAACACTCAGACCTGGAAAAGAAATGGTAGAAGTCATTCTAGGTGTGATAAAAAACACTTGCACTGCTTCACAAACTTATTCAGGGTGGTAAACTCAAACATACAAAATTTCTGCACTGAAAAAAAAGCAGTCCACACACATTGAGCCTTTGATCTCTCTTCATTCACTTTAGCCTGCGTCTGTGTGGTCTGCTTTGTGCCACAGCAATAACATGGTCCCAACAGTAGCCAAGAGCTATCAATGCTACAGTTTAAAAGTGGCAGATGTGGGGTTAGTAGAAAGAACAGAACATAAACTTGATTCAATCACAGCAAATAAATCTTACCAAGGAAGAAAGTAACCATTTGTGGGTTTTGTCAGTTAAGAAAACCAGCTGCAGACATGTTTGTGAAGAACTGATTAGATCACCGGTACAAAATATTTTTTACATTCTCCTAATAACGTCTCACTTGTCTCAATAATCTAAGATTTCAAGTTTAGACTCTCACTTTCATTTATGCTACTGCACACTGCTCACATCTACAATTAAACTGTTTTGTCATTTGTTTCCTGTAACAAACTGACTCAACACTCTTTCCTTCTGATTAAATAATGCTGTCCTCTTGAATCACATCCATAATATTTTTTCAATATTTTTACATCATCATCATGTTTAGGAGAGAGTGTTTAAAGTACATCTCTTTGTTTTGATATAATACATAAATTGATTAATAAACTTGAAATATTTCTAAGTGATAAAAGATTGTATGTTTGAACAAGTTGAAAAGAAGGCATTAAACCTAAATTCTCATATTGTTATTTAAATAAATTTCCCCCCCTAGCTCCGGAAAGTAACATCAAAAGAAATGTCAAAGACTAAATGAAAATAAATGAGCTTTCTTATTGCTTAAAAAATGTGACAATTCCTTCAGGCCACTAGAATATCCACCCATGTGCTTCTGGTTTTAGTCCTTATTTTTGTTCTACTGAACAACTGGCATCTTTCTTGTGTATCTCTGATTAACATACTCTGAAAACAGAGCACCCCATAAGTGTGTTTTTCTAACCAGGAATTAGCTTGATAGAGAATACTTATAGTACCTACCCAAATATGTGATATTTGGGTTCTACTCATCAGTTAGCAACATAGAATATTTGGAATTACAAGGAAATAGAACAAGATATTATTTTTAAGTTATTTTCTACTGGTAATGGAGGAATACTGCTGCTACGACTTGAAAGGATTATAATATACTAAGAACAGGTTACCTTATCCATTCAGATTAAGAATTCCTTTCTGCCTTGTGCTTTACCAGTTTTTTACAAGCCCTATTGACTAATTTACACTAATTGCTATACACTAGGCTCTGCCTTGATTATCCTGCCTTGCAGCTGTCTACAAATAGTTGTTTTGATCACTAAAGGCCTAAAGAGACATAGACTGTTCTGGGGAAAACTGAAGACTCTCCTCCCTGCACTGCATATATCACCAATTTCCACAGGATTTTTTGAGGGCTACTCGCTTTTCTGTGTGTGACCCAACTACATTGCCCCAGTCCTGGTCCCTACATTGCATAAGGTGTGTGTGTGGGGCAGGATGTCTCCTAATTTTTCCATATTGTTTGCTAAGTTTCATCCTTCTTGGTAACAGCAACTTTTCCTCCAGAATCAGCAGAACTGGAAGTTTGTTAATTTGGCCATGATTTTCACTATTCATTAGCATCGCTAATGAAGGCAATCTTGAGAACTCTCCAACACCTATCAGCCTCATGCAAATTCTGCGAGGTCTCAGCAGGCTGAGTTCATTATTTATGCACATCTACGTGTATCTGCAAACATCAGTCCACATTAACTGTGCCAATGCCAAGCGTTGCACACACCAGCACGATTCCATAATGGTAATGGAAACACCCAGGAGCCAGCAGGTGCTTCCACTGTTTCAGGCCATTATCTAAGTCCATGTTGTCCCCCAATTGCCAGCTGCAGCAGCAGGCAAGTAATGCAAAGCAATGAAGGTATTAGAAACATTGTAATTCCCCATCATGTATTAGAAACACAATTCACACTCGGAATTAAAATATTGCCACCTCACATTCCAAGAAACATAAAGCTTGTTTAATTGATATTAAGAAATGGAAACCTATGTGCCACTGAATAAAACAAGAAAACAGCTCTGTATAACAAAACTTAGTGAAGCAAATGAACCTCTGCCAGAGAACAGAATGAGTGCAAGAGAAAAACAGTGAGGACAAGCAAATGCAAGTTTGAGAAATTCCATGTACATGGACACGAGAATGCCTTAGTTCCAACTCTTCTCATACTGCACCTCCCCAGTGGCACATTCAGTCTCAGTTACCTCTCTGAGGGCTTTGAATACTGATTATAAGATGTCACAGATACAGTAAACAAAGGCTTAAAGATTTTATTACTATGTATTATTACCCCATCCTCTTGAGTCAGTTTTTCCATCCCATAGTACAATTCACTTCCAGTGTAATGCTCATGAAACTAATAAAAGACTTAAGTTCTCTACAAGCTGCAGAGAACGCCACATTAGGACAGAGTAGATCGAAACATTCGTTATTAGTTCTTATGCGAATAATGCGTAAAAATATTCCAATTATTATTATTATATTGTTGAACAGACCATCAAAGGATACAATATCACTTTGTTCCAAAAATAGAGTATAAGAAAGCATTAAAATTCCAGTGATTTAAAAATACATTAAAAGGCACAAAAAATTCTTGTAATAATGTTTCCATGTGCCATGAGTTAATGATATTCAAAATCAAGAGCCTCAGTGAAATCAAACCCACATGTTTCCAACATCTGAGAGCAAGCCTTGTGTGCTTAAAGTTAAGCCATTAGTGCTCAACACAAATATTAAATCACAAGAAAAAAATGTTCTGAGAAACTGTTCTTGATCTCAAATGTCCTCTAGGGTAAGAAAAAACATTTAAGGTCCCTTTCTATACAAAACATATAAGCAGCCTTCATAAGTTACAATAAACTTGAGGGACAAGGAACTGATAAAAATAGAAGCATCAAGAACATTAATAACTAAGGATTCCTACACAATACTGGAAGTTCTTTCCCTTATTTCTGGTAGTTTTGTGAAAAATAACCTTCCACACTTCTTAAGGTTTTCCATTTACTTATATAACAGCTGTACATTAGCAGTTTATTCATACCATAAGAAAACAGTACTCGTGTAGTGTTTCTGCTTAGTGGTTATGTCTGGATAGGAGAACCTTTTCTCACTTTGTAGAACATGCACAAAGCTTCCTCCCTGCCATTCTTTCGATGTATCACTCCATTAATCCATTGACTAAAGTCTAGTCCCTTACCACAATTCTTCCACTTTGTTGCAGAGTATGTGTTGTTCTGCAACACGCAAAGGATATGGAGGCACCTACATGACTTTACTAGAACCTTACCCTACCCTACTCTATGACTGTGTTTTCTCTTTCAGTAACCTATAACTTAAGTTTCCTATATTATAAATCCAACTTACCATGTCCGCGTATTAACTTCATATCTGTAAAGGTCATCCACCAATCCATATTTATTGCCAGGTAATGCTTTGTATCCACCATGGACATAAATAGATTTAGTCAGTTCATCATAGACACTTGTATGGCCGTATCCACCTTGCACAATTGCTCCTTTTGTTTCTGGTACAAGCCAAGAATTAGACCCTGAAACAGATAGATAAAAAACACACGTTTAAGGTTTACTACTGCTAACACACAATACTGGGAGTTTTAAGTATATAAAGTCATTTCCACTATAATTCTAAAATACAGTCATAACTAGGGACTTTTTTTAAGAAGTAATTTTATACCAATGTATCAAAATATCTACAATTGGATAATGCTGTTAATGACTATTATCTGCTATTCTTAATTAAACCACAGATACATTGTTGTTACAGCTGCCAGGCAGTATCTCATACTCTCTCACGTGCGACTTCAGCATTCACACAAAACAAACAAAGAGCCTGAACTTTTCTGAAAATATGAAATTAGGAGCTATGATTAATTCTCACCAGAGATGGCTGATGAGAATTCAGTGCTCCAGCTACTTCAGATGCATTTGGAACACCTGTGCTCAGTCATGGGGAATCTGGAGAAGCCTGACAGGCACTGAACTGCTGTGAGCCATGAGAAGCACGTAACATAAGGTAGCTCCAAGTATGCATGGGGGTAGGCAAACAATTTGGTAGTAACTACAAAGTTATTGAGCTAAAATCCAGTTCCCAAATACTGCTTCTTAGTTATTTAACTGCAAATATACCTATTCAGTTGCTGATAACTCACAGAATAATCTGATAGCAGCTCATTAAACTGGCATTTAAATTCACATTTTACTTTACATCTCTAATAACTGCAAAGAGACACCAAATAAACCCATACACGATAGCTATTATGACTGAAGAATAAAACACAATTGGAAAATATTTTACCCTAGCAAAAAAAAAAGACAGAGATGTTAAGTGAGTTCTTGCTGCCTGTAGCCCAGAAATGTCCTTTTTCCCCCCTTCATCTTCCCAGATCACGACCTAAGTCACAAAAACAACAAGCCAGGAAGTATTTCCTGTAGAAGGCAGCCTATACAAAAGAGCCTATGATGATTAGGAGCAAGTTCCATGGATGTGAAATGGAAGAAATAATTCACTTACAGCCTTTTAAGATTATGTTAGAAGAACAGCAAGTATGGACAAGGACATCCAAAACTGAGCAGTCTCCTAACTCTTAGCCTATATTGGCCACCATTATAAAGTTATTTATCCAAGGCTAGCACACAACACCATACACCTTGCTGCATCTGAAAGTTAGTTTTCCATTTCAATTTCTATCTGATATTATGTAGGTAGCTTACATTAACTCTTTTTCCTCTGGATTCTTCTGTTCAGTGAAGAGACTCATGTTTTTCAGTTATTACTGATGCTACTGTCCTTTCATTAAACTATTTCCAGGTGCTGCCTCTATAAGTTACATTTTTTTCAGTAACAAGTGCTTATAGAAAGTTATAAATTATAGATTATATGGAAGAATTGTGCTGATTTTTGTGTGTGTGAATGCTGATATTTGTGTAATACACTATTTATATCTGACACAGTATATTTATGTGTAGTGTAATGTAACTAGTATTTTATTCCAATTTCTGAACTGGATATTATCAATCTATTAAGAAGCGCAACTCTGAACACAAATATTAAATTTGTACCAATAAGACTGTATTTTAAATACATATTACTTTGATAACAAAGAAATTTATTTGATACAATTTATGTAAGAAGGTTGGTGAGGAGTCAACCTGCAGATACACCATCTATTACCAACACCATCCCAATGTATTTATTTAAATAATGATCAGTCCTAATGATTGGCATATATGCTTTTCAGCAAAAAGAACTATTTCCCTACATAAATTTACACAATGTGTTGATAATATGCATAATAAAATTTTTTGCATTTATATCTGACTGTTTTGTACATTTATGCAGCATTATAGTTTATGTAGTAATGGTCAGGCTTAATGATATTAGAGGTCTTTTCCATCCTAAATGAGTCTATGATCCTATGTAGCATTTAGAACACTACGACAGTAATATTCACATTGCATAACTTTATATGACTTGCACAGAAATATGAAGAGCTGTTCCTTCTTGCAAAATAAAAACTACCTAAGTTTGAGAGAAGAGGTTCAGCATCATCTCTCTGAAATAAAAGTTAAAACCAGTATTACAGTTTCTCCCTCAATTTCCCATTCTAAAATTTACTTGAGTTGCCTGAATTTCAAATGCTGAAATGTATACCTACAGTTTTGATCTTTCACATTTCTTCAGCATCTTGAAAATTGCATCATTCAGACAAAAATACACTTCTGTCTCTATTTAAAGACATTACTATGCATATGATCTTTTTTTATGAAACTTATTGATATGAATCTTCACCTTATTTTCTAAACAAAAATTCCATTTTTATTGAAAGCATTTACATAACCTTTATCATACTCAAAGACATCCCACTCTTTCTATCATTATACCATAAAAAGTACTTGATTGATCAAATCAGTCATGTGAAACTGCGATTTCAACAATTTAAAAAGTCAAGCACAGAAAGACCTCCATGAATGAATAAGCCAGAAATAAGGAAAGAAGAGACCACATAGGACTCCATTATTTTTTTCTTTCCAGATTTAAATTTTAAGTCTAAGAGTATAAAAATAAGGTCAAATTAATTTTGAAAATAATCATAAAAATAATATGGGTATGCAGAAGTACTACATAATAGAATACAAGCCTCTCCTTTTCATTTGTAATTTGACATTTTTCATCAATATCTGAGCAATTTTCCAGAGAATTCTAGCACATAAAATTTCTATTTAAGTGCTTAGGAAAATCACTATGATAACTTCAGATAATTAGATCTCAGATACCAAACCACTAGACAAGAGTTACAATACTCTGGTCACTTTTTCCAACAGAATCCCAAACTTCAAGTCCAGCTTTAACATGACCCTTTCCAGAAGACTGACCAACTGAAAGAAAAAGAGAAAACAGGCATCTACAAAAACATGTAAACAGAAAAAGGAAGTGCAGCTCTGAGAGAGAAGGTAAACTCATTGATTGAATGAACTGAAGCTGGGGGTAAGACACTGTTCCAAAATTCTGACAGACACAGTAAGTGAAACTCCTGGCCCAGTAGCAAACATTTTTAACAAAGCTGGTTAGATATTGCCAAAGAATGGCAATCATAGTGCTGACAGTGAAGACTAGAGGGAGGAGAGGCAAGATCTAAACTATTACAGACCTTAATCTCACCTTGATAATACACAAAGGTTTAGAACAAAGGGTTTGATTTTGTTCTACTTTTTAAAAGGATAAATGAAAAATGTTGAAATAGTGGGAAACTGTTTCACTGGACAACGTAAATGTGCCAAACCATTTACACCACCTTTAGCTAAAAAAATTACCAAGAGAAGGAAGGGTAGGTGTTCTCTGTATCTGGGATTTGGCCACTGAACAACAAACAGCAATGAACTACGTTGGGAGGTGCTGAGACTTAGCACCAGGCAGACTTCTTAAGGAACAGAATTGGTGCATTCTTTGACACTGACACAAATTTAAGGAGCACTAACTGCATAAATTTAAACTCTATTGATACACAGAAGTAGCAGAAAAACATGCAGAATGACCTGTAAGATCTTGGTTACCAGAAAAAGAAGGATCAAAATTCCACAATATCTTAAAAGTATTATACACTGGGATTAGCAACGTGAACTTCTATAAATTGGAAGCTCATCAACTGATAATGACCGACAAGAATAAGAAGGAGCACTGCTTCATCAGAGAAAGTCTATGAGCCAGTAATGACTTTCTCAAGGATGCAGTACAAATGTCATTTTACTATATACCAACTAAGGTATTCCTAATAATGTAGAATTAGGCACTAGCAAAATCTCACCTAGAATATCTCACAGGTTTTTCTAATCATCCATGTTCAAGAGAGATGAACTCCTTGTGGAAAAGGTACAGAGAACTATTAGAATGACAGTGGAATAGATTAGGTTGCCTTAATTAGACTTGCAGAAGGGAGGATTTGTATCTATAAATATAATTCAAAGACAATTCCAGGGAGATGAGCTGCTTACATTAAACAAGTGAATATAAAACAGGCCACTGATACAGGTGGGCTATGAATTAGAATATGCCTAGTCACTAAAATTATAACCAATTTTCCAATGACATTGTGCTTGCAAGAAGTTAATCAAATCCAAAGGTGTAACACCATTCTATCATCAAAGAATGCAAAACAAATGAAATAAGAAATAAAAGCTTTTTTTTTCCCCAATTCATTTCTTTGCATGAAATAGTTTAGGATTGCCAAATCAAGGAAGCTCCAAATTTGAGCAATAGTAATTTTATAATTTAAAACAGAAACACTGAAATCACATTTTGAGATAAAGTTGTTTCTAAAAAAAAAAAGGTTGAAAAAAATTATATGCAGTAATAAACCCTGTAAAAATCCAAGGAAAGGTAGATACACTGGCCTGATCTGTCCTTACCACAATACAATCTTCAAATAGATCAGGTAAAAAGCACAAAATATCCATGAAGCACCGTAGTGTGCCATCTTCATTTCATTGCATTGACAAATTTTAAATTTTTTCAAGCAACCATGAAATTTAAGCTAACTTACAAAAAAGAGGACACGTTACATCACAGGGTTGGGTTTTTTTACATTATTTCAAATAAACACTTATAATCCAAAGCAGTCTATAATCTACTTCTGAAGTCATAAAAAAAAAATCAGTCTAAAAACCAAAATGATATTCTGCTAATCCAAAGAAATCTCTGTCTTGTAAAGAAACAAAATAAAATCACAGAAGACTTACTCAGAAGTTTCTTAATATATAAGGAGCTTTTATAAATCTCTGCTAAAGCAAAACACTATTATATTCACCTTGAGACTCACATTGAGACTCTTAGAAGGTTTATGAGGTATTGCAAACCTAAAGGGAAATAAATTCTCCTGGGGAGTAACCCGGAAAAGCTTTATGGTTCAAGTTAGTAAAATCATTCACATAATTGCCATACCAGGATTTATTGGTTTCTCGAAAATCATAAGTCCAGGTATAGCAAGAAAGGACAACAGGAAGCCCTTTTGTTCCTGCAGCATCCACCATACATTCAGAGCAGAAATAAATTCATGTGCTTTTGCATGGTGAAAATCTGACTACAAACCATGTCTAATTTACTCCAGAATTTACTTCACTTTGATAGGAATTACTTTCTTTCCTAATCAGACAACATCAGAGAAATTTTCAGACCATGTACACCTTCGATTGACATGTTTTGTTAACAAGAACAATGTATCTACCTGAGAAGCCTGGGAATCTACAAACACTTTGCAACTTCTTTAGATGTTTCTTAACCCAGACTCCATGAAAGTCAGAGCCACAGTAACTAAAGTAGGCTTTAGCACTAGAATTCCACGTAAATTCCATGTACCAAGTTCATCAAAAGAACTGGATCACTAGAGGTTTTAGTTCATACCAACCAAAAGCTAAGCCACCTCTTTCTGTGTCACTCTTTCTTTCAGTAGGCATTTGGTAAATGCTTGACAATAGCCTTCATTAGGACTAAAAGTCATAACTGATAACATTTAGAAAGAATAGAGCACTACAATTTGAAATTTAAGGTATCATATGTTTTTAAAGCAAGCAGAGAGAGAGAACATTGGGTTCTTATTTTTCTTTCTATAACGTCACAAGCCCTTATTTATATTAATTTTTTTCCTATTCAGGTGAGTTCACAGCAATACTTTTATCACTTCTTATGTCTTTCAAGTTTGGATTGAGAACTGCTGAAGTCTCCCCAGAAAATAGTCAGTCTTGATTCAAAACCACCATCTGGAATTTTATGGTTAAAAATATTCCTACACCTGCAAAACTGTAGATAAATGCTACAGTCCATACAGAATTCAGGAAAATTTACCAAAATATTCATTTAACTTAGACAGGAGGGAAAGGAGGAAGATGCAATGAGGTAAAATGAAACATGAGAATTATCCACAGCAGAAGTGGTTCAGTTACAGCACACAGACCATGATCTGCAAAGCCCTGCATGCCCCAATAATCAATCCTTCATTAGATGAGTAGATTCACTGAAATCAATGGGTTTCCACATTAATACCCTATATTGTTACAAGTTCCCTTTATATTTGATGTAAGTGAATCACATTAACTAACTAAATTTCTCACTAGTATATGGTGAAAACAATCTCAAAAAGGAGACACAAAAATTTGAGAATAACTGAGAACCATAATAACAGAGAGAAGTGCTTTCTCTTATTTAAAGCTTGTCACCACAGTAGGAAAGGTTTGGGGGGTTATTCTTCGTGTTATATATGCTTAGTTATTGTCTGTTTTATTAATCCTCCACAAACAGAGTTGTAACATTAAAAAAAATTAAAATAGGAACAAGTTGTCCATTTCAACCATAAGGCCATCAATAAAATCACCCAGGCAGAAAACTTTATACTACAAATCATGTTCCCTTCTTCATAGTTAAACTAACCACAGTAATAAATGAGAATAAAATTGGTACTTCTACTCCATACTAAATAAGCAGCAGTTGAAGAAGCAAACAATTTTAAGTTCCAACAGACATTACAGTGTATGAGCTTGCAGAAAACTAGAACAACACATTGTTCTCTTCAAGAGAAAAAAAAATTATCTTTGGTAGGTTAAAAAACCAACTCTCGGAAATTAAGGTTTTCCAAAAAATGGTCTTTAATGGTCTTTTAATGGTTTTTAGTTTCAAAAAATTGTCTTTAAAATCTTAGAATACTGTTGAGAACGTCACTGTAAGACCAGAGTTTTATAGTAATTTTTATGCAGTTAAATCGAAATTTTTCAGTGTGGATAAAGCACATCATGGTGCTCTTCCTCTTATTACCATTCACTTTTATCATTTTTCAACATTGTTATAAAATTTCAACACTGCCATCAGAAATAATGCCAGAGAGAATAAGAACCTTATGAGTTCTGAAGGGACTTTGCCAACCTATAAATCTGCTTAAACAGTGTCTATATACATATGCATACATGAAAAAAAAGTTAAATGAAACAACTATATTTTAAAGCATTATAATTGTTTTTAAGTATTACTCTGAAATTCTGTATTATGCATTCTGTGATTGTATAAATAACTGAAGGACTCAGATTAATTCAATAGAAAAAAGGAATCAAAAAAAATAGGAGAGGATTATAATTTGAATTAGTGGGCATATAAATATTCCTAAAAACTTTTCAGGTGTAGAGTTGCAAACTATTGCATTGAAATAATACATTAGATGTATCATATATATGATAAAAAGATTTCTCTTGGTTTATTTAATTCTAGCATTTAAAATCACCCCTAGGAACAGCTTGTGGTTTGCAGAAAACTAGTGTTCCTTTGCAATTATTTCCTCTAACCCTTTATACGATGATGAACTAAGTTGTGATATTTAAAAAAAAATCAGAATGAAAATAGAGCAACCTTAAAGAGCCTCCAAAATAACTACATTATTGTTGGTTTTGCTCTTCTACTTTAAGGTAAAAACAGTAAGTCTGTGTTTAAAAAGATCACAAAATTAACCACTGCATGGAATTTCTGGTTTCAATTTTTATCCCCTTTGGAGTACCACGACCGTGTACACAATAATATATAGACAAAGTCATGGTGCTCCAAACATGTATGAAATGCTATTGCTGAACAAGAAAGCTGCTCTACATGATTTGAAGGAAAAAAAGATGAGGTTTTATTTATTTTGCAAAATACATACTTTTCTTTCTGAAAATAGGAGTGATATTGACTTGAAAAATAGTACTTTTTTATCAGTATATGATAAAAATTATTTGACTTACTGATGTAGTATTCTTGCACAATGCTTGTGTAACCATATATGGAAGAATATCCAAAAATTATAATCATAACCACATCTCTGCTGTCCAGCTCTACTATGTGTGCTGAATGACCTTCCACAGCATATTGCTGGCCATGTACAAGTACTGCAGGAGTTCTGGAGCTCCATGTTTGACTGTGTATGTTGAAAATCCACAGTTCATCAGTAACATTGCCATTATTTGTTTCAATTTTGCCTCCATACATGTAGATGTCTTCCTGTAAAAATTGGAAGGGAGAGAGGAGAAAGCACATAATGGATTACAGAAAGATAACATCTGAACTGCATACTCCTGTGCTGTGCAATATTTCATAACTGAGCTATCTGATTTAAATCTTCACATTTAATCTTACATTAACCAGCTCGATATCAGACACTAATCCCAAACAATGATATTTAAACTAAGCCAACAATGATAAGGAGTCCATTTCTCTGAAAAATAAACCCAGCCATGAAAATGACACCAAAATGAATCTCAAACAGATTACTTCAACCAGAAAACCTTTAATTACATGCCTCTTCTAATTCAAACTGCAGCACTCTATTTTGAAAAAAGCTAAACAGAAAGGTTATTATATTGTTTTCTTAAGGAACCATAGAATTAAAATGTGATTTTACACATACTCAGTCTATAGGGATTTCCATTAGCACATTCTCTCTCAACAGCAAAGTAACTTAAGTTCTGAGAAAACTCACAGTCATCAGAACCCAAAGAAAAGGGACAATATGTGTATGGAATCATAGAATGGTCTAGGTTGCAAGGGGTCTTAAAGATCACCTCATTATAACCTCCCTGCCATGGGCAGGGACATCTTCCACAAGCCCTGTCCAACCTGGCCTTGAACACTTCCAGGGATGGGGTATCCACAGCTTCTCTGGGCAACCTGTGCCAGGGCCTCACCACCCTCACAGGGAAGAATTTCTTACTAATATCTAAACAAAACCTGCCCTCAGACAGTTTGAAGCTATTCCCCCTTGTCCTGTTATTCCATGCCCTTGTCAAAGTTCCCTCTCCAGCTTTCTTGGAGCCCTTTTAGGCAGAGGAAGGTGCTATAAGGTCTCCCCAGAGCCTTCTCTTCTCCAAGTCGACAGCCCCAGCTCTCTCAGCCTGTCCTCTTGGAGAGGTGCTCCAGACCTCTGATCCCCTCAGTGGCCCTCTGGATTCACTCCAACAGGATCATGTGCTTCATATGTTGGGGGCCCCAGAGCTGGACACAGTGATCCAAGTGGGTCTCACATGAGAGGAGTAGAGGGGCAGAATCACATTCCTCAACCTGCTGGTCAGGCTGCTTTTGATGCAGCCCAGGATGCAGTTGGCACTCCTCTTGAACACGTTTGCTAAAATCAAATCCCATAGGGGAGTTACCTTGAGTTCTTTTTAAGGGATGCAAAACAGTTTTCCAGCCATCGTGAACCATGTACCTCAAACAGCAGTGCCATCTGTTCTGATAAGTAATGAATGATTTACTTAAATATTGACTGAAAGCAAATCCTACTAAATGTCACTTCATCTCGAGTTGCAAACCAAGGTATCCAAAGTCACAGAGCAAATTCTAGCATATTGGTTTCACAGACTTGCTCAAGGAGAGTTTATAATGCGCAGAAAAAAAAACTGCCTCTGGTTCTGAGAATGATCCTTAGTCTTTGCTAGGACATACCAGAACCAAATCCCATTTGCATGGTGTTTGTACAGTTGGCAGTTGTCTTCTGCATACTACCATATAGTTTACATTAAATTTAGTCTTACTAGGTTTAAATTAAAAAAATTAATCTTTTTTTTTTAAAAATGACGCTGCAATACTGAGCCTCAGATAAAGAGGCTGAAAGATAAAGAAACTACCTAAGAATTTTGTATCAATCATGTAGAAATTTCAGACTTATGGTACAAGGAACTGATGATAGGATCTAAAAAGAAATGTAAACTGCATATTATTATCATCACCCACATCAAGAAAGATGAACTCTTGACTGGTGATGAAGAGGTAGGCATGTCAAATATAGGTATCAGTAGAAGACAATTTATTTAGTCCAGCAAAACAAAGGCTTGAGAGGGTTATAATGTTGTTACATATGCCTGTGGTTGATGGTAAGTAACAGAGTCCAGAATAGTAAGAAAAGCTTCCTCGTAACTCAGAAAGATTAGTCAGCAAATGACTGACCAAACTGTCTGATTGTCAAGAGTACACTTGAAATTTCTGCAAGATTTTAAACTTTTTTTTTTTTTATTTGAGGCAGGTGAACATTTCTCTATTTAGAATTTAAATCGTTCCTATACAGGGGTACTCTGTGCTATCAACTAGTTTGGACTGGTGGTGTTTGAACAAAAGATGTTCACATCCTTCAGTAGGAATTTGTAGTAGAATTAGAAAGATATATATCTGAACCCATTCCTTTCCTGTGAGATAAAACATTTCAAAGAGCTTGGCAAAGACCCACAAAAGCTGAAGGAGGTTGTGCACTGATCCAAAGGAATGGCTTGAACAAATATTCTTCTGAAAGGATCCTCTATGGTTCATTCATTACACTTCCACATAGATCTCAAAAGTCAAATCAGCATTACTAAAATAATAGACTACTTATTTTTAAATGGAGATAACTAACTACAGCCAAAAGAGGGAGCTAATTAAGGAGTTCTTGGTACTGTATAATAGTATTTGAAAAAAAAAGTATTTCTGACACTGAGGAAAGACACTTACAAAAAAAAAAAAAAAGGTGATCTAAGGTGATCTGCTGACAATAAGAAACTCCTCCTCATAGTTCTGATTAAACAATTCAAAGTTCACATAAAAGAATACTTCTCTGAGGAGAACCTTTGTAAGTCAGACAGCAGGTCCCATACACAGCATTATTCACAGTGAACGAGACAACTGCTTTATCAACCACAAAAACATTTAACTAAGCTTTGCTAAAGGCTATTTATGAAATTAAGAAGCTCCTAATGCTGCGGAAAAACACTTTAAAAGTTAGTGATGATCAGCTGAACATTAAAAAATAGACTGAGGGATTGAAGTCAGTAGAAGAAATACTGAAGTAAAATTAAAAAATGTTACAAGCATAGGCAGGATAACACCCAATATCACAGGCACATAAAGATAAGTGTTTATTTGGAAAGCATAATCAAGAAGGAACGGTAGAAAGAATACAAGTGCAAATGGTCCTAAGCAGACTAAAGATTGTGGTAGAAAAGAAATTCCCTTAAAAACTTACACTATCTTTATAAATTACATAAAAACTAGGTATAAACCAAGGTATACAATAAAGATGAGGCTTTCAGGAAGATACAATTCACAAGATACAGAGTTTAAAGAGTGCTAACACACAAACACTCCTGACCTTTAAATTAATTAAGCATAGTAGATATTTGTTTATATTAAAATACCACATCACAACAGGACTACAAAGTAAAATAAAAGCAACAACAAAAATAGAATTGAGAGTCTTTGTGAAATTAGTGCAGGAGAAGTGTGAGGAATCTGGCCCAGAGGAAAGGTCTTAAAAATTGTACTCCTCAGCCTGGAGGAGAGAGAAGATCAAAAGGCAGACTTGGCCAAGGAAGAGATAACAAAACACTAGGCAGATAAGCACCAAGAAGATACATTCATATTTTAAATTTTTCATGTGTCAGAAGCAACACCTTCAATCACAGTGGCAGATAGCAAAGTTTAGCATTTACTCAATAAATTAACCTTGGTAATTTTAGACATATTACTTCACATAAATAAAATTATCTAAGAAATGACAAAAACCTTTAAAGACAATGTGGGTTTAAAATGAAATCTCATATAAATTTTACCATAGGTAAATCAAAGTATATAAAATTACACTTGAGAGTTCCTGCTCAGTAGGGAATTCCAGCAAAAATGACAAATATCTTCCTGTAAACTGAGCAGGCAGACAGCTCCCTCAATCATGACATTCCGACCTGCAGATCACTTCAGTTGGTTTCTTGGTAGCTGTTCAGGTGCAAGCCAACAAAACCAGCAGTGTAGCTCCTGTTAGCTTCAATGCAACCAAAACTTTCCAATAAATGTTTCCATTTTCTCAAATCATGTTTTTCCCCCAAGAAAACTACTTCAGTGGAAACTTTTGATGAACTATAGTGATAGAGAAAGATGACAAAAGGTATATGATCTGTAAATATTTGACTGTGCATTGTGGGCAGAGAGGATGGCAGCTGAAGGCAGGAATGATAAGATAAAAGGCAGGATTTCAACAAAATAGTTAAATCACATTTCCCAAGAGAAGAAAATATTCATTTGATCTAGTATTTTTCTTACAGGGTAATGATTGACATACACATTTTGACCAGTCAAAGTAAGACCAAGAGAATAACTCAAATACAGGAGAAAAAGCAAACTGTCACAATTTGAATCCTGCTGGAGGAATCAATACAATTTACAGCAGTGAAATTCCTCCTAACTTCTTCATCTTATTGATACCATTATCTTCTCTGTTAAATAACCAAATAATTAAAATAAAATTACATGCCTGGTGGGACAGGGTAAAAAAGAGGAAGCCAGCCTCTTCAGAGTGTTTTCCAGTAAACTGACAAGAGGTGATGGGCACAATTTGGATTACAAGAAATTCAATTTACATGTAAGAATAAACATTTCTCTTTTTTTCAGTGAGGATGGTCAAGACTGGAACTGCTTGCTCTGAGATCCTGTGGAATTGAATGCCCTTGGAGATATTCAAAACCCAACTGGAGCATGTCTGGAACAACCTGCTGTAGTTGACCCTGCTTTGAGCAGAGAGGTTGGTTAAGATGGTCTCCAGAGGTTCTTTCCAACCTCAACTAATCCTTGTGAGTTTGTGAAAAACAAATTTCTAATACAAGTCCACCTCTAAAAAGCCTCTTCCCTACTTAATTTTCTGTTACAACCAATAACAAAAATAAGCCATTCGATGATCGTGAACAATATCCAAATTATAAAAGTAAAAATAGTTTCCTTCAAAAAAAAAAACACCAAACAAAAAAAGCACACACACAAAAAAAACACAAACAAAAGCCCCCAAAACAAAAAAACAAAACAAACCCACCAACCAAGCAAACAAACCAAAAAAAACCCCAAAACCACAAAACCCCACCTTGAAAAGTTTCTTACTTAGTGCAACTAAACAGATGACACAGGAAAAAATATAGAGTTCTGGTAAATCTGGTAAAATGGCAATCAGCTTAGCAGCCTGAACTCTATAATTTGAGGGCAAAACTCTTTTA